TATATATAAAAGTCTACTTTAAAATGAACAGATTTACAGTTGAAATATACATTGCTCCATTGCCTAGTTTACTTTCTATTATGAAGTTTAAAAAAGAGGACTCTACTTTGCCACATTTAAAAAACAAGTGTAGCCATTTTCTACTTATCCCTTTAGTACATAGATTTTGAATTCAAACGGTGTCATTACTTGGCTATGTTCAAAGCCCTGCATGCCGAGTGCTTTACAGCTTACAGATAATAACAGTCAATCATGGTTTCTAACCAAAAATAAAAAAGTAAGCATGATAAATTTGTGCAAAAAAGACAGTTCTGTTCATTAAAATTAAAAACTTTGTGCATAAAAGAACAATACCAAGGGACTGAAAGACAACCCATAGCAGAAAACATTTGCAAATCATTTTCTGATCTGTAGGCATTAATATGCAGAAAAATTTTAAAAACTTCTATAACTGAATAAAAAAAAAAAACTCAATTAAAAGCAGCCAAAGGACTTAGATAGTTCTCCAAAAGGTATACAAATGACCAATAAGCCATGATCAACATTCATGGAAAATTGTTCACATCATTAATCATTAAGGAAATGCAAATCAAAACCACAGTAAGATAATACTTCACTCCCATTAGCATCTCTATTATTAAAAAAAAAAAAGTAAATAATAAGTGTTGACAAGGATGCAGAGAAAGTGAAACCATTTTGTACTGTTGGTAGGAATGTAAAATGGTACGACTATGGAAAATAGTATGGCGGTTCCTCAAAAAACTCAAAATAGGATTGTCATGTGATACAGCAATTCCACTTCTGGGTATATACCCAAAAGAACTGAAAGCAGGAAACTGAACAGATATCTTTACACCATGTTCGCAGCAGCATTATTCGCAATAGCCAAAAGGTGGAAGCAACCCAAGTGTGCATCAACAGAACAGATACGTAAAATGTGGCACATACACATAAAAGAATATTATTCTACTGTGAAAAGTTAATTCTGGCACATGCTATAACACGAACGAACATTGATGACATTATGCTAAGTGAAATAAACCAGTCACAAAAGGACAAATACTGTATATTCTACTTATATGAGATACTTAAAAGTAGTAAAATTCATAGAGACAGAAAATAGAATGGTAGTTACCAGGGGCTGAAGAGAAAGGGGAATTGTTTAATGGGTTGCAGTTAAGCAAGATGAAAAAAGTTCTGAAGATAGATAGTGGTGATGCTTACACAACAATGTGAATATTCTTAATGTCACTAATCTATACATTTAGAAATCGTTAAAATGGTAAATTTTATGTGTATATTTTACCACAATTTTTCAGAATTAAAATTTTAAAAGAGGAGTCAAAAGACAAGCCATAGAATGAGAAAAAAGTTTCGAATCATATCTGATAAGTTTCTAGAATCCTAAATATATAAAGAAGACTTAAAATTAAACACAAAAAGAAAACCACTTCCCACTTAAAAATGGGCAAAGAACTTGAGTAGACGTATCTCCAAAGAAAATACATAAATGGCTAACAGACACATAAAAAGATGCTTAATATCATTAGTCATTAGGGAAATGCAAATCAAAACCATAATGAGATACCGCTCCACACTCCCTATGATGGCTATAATAAAAAGAAAACAAAACAGAAAATAAGTTACTGAGAATGTGGATAAACTGGAACCCTCACACATTGCTGGAGGAAACGTAAAGTGCAGCAAATACTGTGGAAAACAGTCTGACAACTCCTCAACAAGTTAAACAGAATACCTTATGGCCCAGCAATTCTATTCACAGGTATTAAAGCAATTTGGAATTAAAACAGGTATTCAAACAAAAACCTGTGTACGAATTTTCAAAGAAGCGTTATTTATCTAATCAAAAGGTGAAAACAACCTGAATGTCAATCAACAGATGATGGCTAAACAAAATATGGTATATCTATATAATGGAATATTATTCAGCCATAAAAAGAATCAAGTACTGATATATGCTATAACATGGATGAAAACTCAAAAATACTATATTAAATGAAAGAAGCCAGTCACAAAAGGCCATATAATTGTATGATTCCACTTACATGAAATGGCAGAATAGGAAAACCTACAGAGATAAAAAGTAGGTTAGTGGTTGCCAGGGGCTGGGGAATGGGAGGCGCAGGAAGTGAATGCTTGAGTACAAGCTTTCCATTTAGGGTAATGAAGTAGTTCTGGAACTAGATAGTCGTGACAGTTGCACAACAATATGAACGTACTTAATGCCACTAAATTACACATTTTAAAGTATACACTTTAAGATGATTGAAATGGTAACTTTTATATTATATATATTCTACCACAATAGAAAAAAAAAGGGTCTTATTCTGCATAAACGAAATCCTATTCTATATAAATGACTAAGAAAAAAATGCTGTTTAACTCTTCCAGAATGATTGTCCCAGTTTGGGGGCATGTTAGTGATTTCTTGAAATTGATCCATATTCTTTTAGGCTATTTTTCATACAATGTATATAAAATTAGAATATCTTTCCTAAAAATGTTAACTTTTTTGGTTATCAATTTGGTAAATGCTTTTAAAATCATGAATGGCTATGGGGCGGGGGGTGGATGGAAGACATGTCTATGTTTACAAATGCAACTGGAAAAATCCAATCTCCTTGTACAGTGAGATAAACAATTTTCTAACTACAGGCTTAGAAGTATGCATTTCTTTCTATTCATTAGAAAGCTAAGAGGGAAATAATTTAAATTAAAATGTCAAGATTTATACCAAGCCATATTAGAATTATTCTATTTTGAACACTGATGTGAAAAACAATAATATAATAAACATTTAAAAGCAGTTATATCCCCAAACAATTTTTATGTGGTTAACCACACCAAAATTCCTGGTTATCTTTGTGTATAGGCATTTTAATTAAAATGCTACTATTCTTTCAGATTAGAATTTAGTATGTCCTTTCTTTTCAGCTTAATTATAATTGAAGGCAGATATAAAATTAAAGACATTCTGAAACTGCCATTAAACAAGCAAGCAAATATTACCTGTATATTGTTTATATAAACGAACACAAAAAAAGTGACCAGAAGTTATAAATTCTACAGAAATAAGACAAATGTAACCACAATAATCTCAATAAAATGCCATTTAAAAGTACTCATTATATTATAAATTTTCTTTCTAAAATAAAAATTCTATTTAAGTTAAAAAATAAAGGATTCAGTGTCAAAATATAAAGACAGAATGAAATGTTGCTTAAGGCACATCTAAATTTTAAAAAAGGTATCACAAAGAAAACCTTAGCTTACAGGCGGTATATATTCAAAAAGCTATTAGATTGTCAAAGGAGTATATTTACATGTTTAAATTTATATTTACATTTTAGAATTTGAGAAAATGAATTAGAGGCATTAAAATCAGAAAGCTTTATAGATATCTCAAAAAGCTGTTCTGCTTCTATAAGCATTTCAGTCTTCAAGTTTATTATCATTATATATATTAGTATTATATATTATCATTATATATTATTAGTAATTTATTAATTTGCAAGCTTTTGTTAAAGAAATGCTTTCAAGGTAAAAATTATAATTTTTTTTCAAGAAACTATGAAGATTCTGAGAAGGCCCTTTTTAAATATTCTCATTATAGACATTTAAAATTAGCCAAAGTCTACTTGACCATCATGTGGACATAAGCTCTAAACTTAAACCACATTAAAAGCAGGTTTCTGTATAGAAAGATTAGAACTATGCAACCCTTAACTCTCTTCATTTTCAAAGGCTTTTTCATCCCCATCAAATGATGATTGGCTTCAAAGATCCATTATATAAGGTTTACCCAAGGCACATAATTTCAAAGGAAACTTGCTTTCCATTATAATTTTTAAAACGGCTGAGGCGGGTCTTCCTTTTCATAAAGAAAACTTGGTCTTTTTTTAAAACCCTACTCTGCCCTTTTAATAGTAATGCCAATTACATCTAAGTTTAAGGTGTAGGATTATTATTACATTGTCCACTGTTTAAGAAGAAAAGAAATGGGTACTTAGAGGATTTAACATGGCATTCATAATGGAGCTTGATCTCTGTCAGATGTAAAGACTGACGAAAAAAATGTTCTTCTATTTTAAGTTAATTTTTCACTTTAGATTGCTAGGCTGAGACAGCAGAAAAGAAAATTATTAATATAAGTTAGAAGCTGAGAGAAGTTTTAGAATAATATTTTCAGTGAAGAACAGATTAGATCTGTATTAAATGGAAATGTTTAAGGGAACACATACATGTCTAATCACAAATGGAGGTTTATCTGTTTCTTTTTTGAATTCATAGGGTCCCAGATTTAAATGGGCCAGCCGCCGCCTGGTGTCTTCGGATAGCTCACACATGCGTCTTTTTGTGTAGGGAGATGGAGAGTGTGATTTTGAAGAAATCGTAGGCTGTTCGTAGTTTTTTGCATTTACGCAATATTTACTTCTCTCAGGTGACTTGGATTTTTTCTTCTGTGATCTTGATGTTCTGCTTTGAAGTTTGCTGTGTGATTTTTCAACTGGAGCCGTATGGTAAATATATTTATCCTAAACGTAGAAAATAAAAATTAACTTCAGTAGAATGCAGACAGATAGATAGACAGACAGACAGATATAGATACACACTTTAAAAAGTAATTTAAGGCACATATAACCTGTAAAATCCAATTAGATTAGTCTGTTGTATCTGTGTAGATCTGGGGGAAGTCAAATCCATATTTTCCAAGATAACTCTCTGTCTAGTAGTTAATAAAGTATACTGTGTCAAATTTCCTCTTAAGTCTAACAAGTAATTTATGAAAATGAAAGCCCAATATTTAATCACTTGAAAAATCTAAGAAAGTCAGAAAAATTATTTTTCAGCATACTAAATTATTAAGGCAAACTTTGATCTGTCATTTATAATTATCTAAAAACTGAATATTTAAGAGGGCTTTGTTTAGTAATGTTACAGATATACATGCTTAATTAGTTGATTATGAAATCTTTATGGAGAAAACTATTAGAATAAGTTTCATTCATACTGCTTTAATGACATACACATATGTATAATGTGAAAATCTAAAGAATAAGTTTATACGTATTTTCATGAAATGTATTACTTGGATTATACAAGGTAAATAGGATTTTCAGATCTCTTCCAAACTATAACTTTACAATTCAGAGACAGATATTTGTACCATCTTAATTCCGGTTCCATATTGTTATAAAAGTAAAAATGTATAAAAGACACATTACAAATTTTAATGACTAGTATTCTATCTTCTAAAATATTTATTAGCAGCCTAAAATTTTAAAAAACAAATGTGATGTTTCTAATTTTTTTTTTTGCATTAGGATAACATTTTATATAGTCTCTGCTTTATGAATGCATTAAACACTGGATTACAAGTAAATAAGACCTTTTCACTATCTAGAATTATAAGTTTTCCAATATTAAAAGAAAATGGACAGGTAAGAATCTTTGAGTGTCTTCTTAACTTTAATCACTTTTAAAAAACACCAATCATACCCTCTCTCTACTTTCTCAATCCTGCTCCCTATTTTCTAAAGGTATCTCTTCTAAAAAAGTAAAACACAAATGTGAAATAGAAGGGAGAGGAGTCATATATTCATTAAAAACAAATAAACGGAAAAGAACATATATTTTCCTAATTGGAAAAATAAGTCCATCAGTTTCACACAAACCAGCAGCATTGGATTATTTCATTGTCTTTCTTTCTTCTATAGCTCTTGATATGCTCCTGGACCTTCTCCCACCTTGTTCAATGGCTTCAACAAGTAATTCAGAATTCTTCTACCTTATCCCATTTCATCCACCTCTATGACATCACACTGACTCACAGAAGCAGGAATATTAGCACATGAAAGGGCCTTTGAGGTTTAATAAAATGTTCAAGCAATGAATCTAAGACCTTGGACTTAGACTTTCCATTTAACAGCTTCAATTATCTCCTTATACTTTGTCCTGGATGTCATCGTTATTCAGATCCAAAGTGAAAATTCCTTGCTGACCAAAACTTCTTTTCTTCAACCTACTTCTTTTATTCTTACCCTCCTCACCTTCTCTGACCCTAGACCTCTTTCTCCGAGACCTTTATAAATTTTTAGTATCTCTTAGCTCTAGATCCAGATGAACCAACCCATAATCATCCATTTCAGCAATGCTGTAAAGTTCTTATTCACCTCTGATTATACCATACCTGAAGTAACCCCATCTTCTTTCTTCATATTTTTGATTGCTGAATACTACTAGAGGAAGTTATAAACTGTGGTGTATCTACTACAGATATATGCTGTCTAACTTCACCCGACCCTCAGTGCATCCTATTAAAGCCCAATAAAAATTAAAACAGTGGCTGTTTTATACTGTTGACATAATGGCTCCCTCCTTCGATCAACAGGACAGTATAATAGCACACTTGACACAAAGAGGGATTTGAAAAATATTTGCAGTCTTTTACTCCTGAAAACCTTCTTGCCCCTAAGTGATTGAGCCAAACTGAGCTAAATTAGCCTACTAGAAAATGAGTCTTATGGCCATTGTCCCAGCTGAAATCAAGCCAATTACCAGAAATGGAAAGTCTGTCCTGGACCAAAAAGGCAGACAACCGCCAGACATGTGAATGAAGCCATCCTAGATCATTCAGCCCTAGGCTAGCCAGTACAGACCAAAAGAATTACCGAGCCAATCCGGAGAACTGTGAGGAACATTGTGTTTTAAGTCGCTAAGTTAGTGTGGATTTTACACAGCAAAAGCTTAACGAAAATATTAATAAAGCTACTATTGATATTTAATAATAAATTTTACTTTGTAGGAAGTAAAAAAAAAAGTAGATAACTAATTTTATTCCAGAAAATCACAGTAATATGCATAATTTTTCAGTTCATTCAATTGGTGACAAAACATCTCATTTGAAAACAATGTGCCTAAAGGAATAAAAATCATTGTAAGTATTTTTAAACTTCAATAATTTCATGATTTTACTGACTCCTCTCTTAAAAACCAAAATGGTTTCTTATTCTTTATTTGAATCCAAAAATACTGCTTTATAGCCATTAAAATTTTACTTGTAACTAATATCACTTTTTAAAAAAGCAGATTTATCACATTCTCAAATAAGTTCAAATAGGATTAAAATACTGGCTGTGTGCATTCAGAATTTTAATATGATTGTATATTTTGCGGTGCCTACCAGACAATGATGCAACTATTGTCTTCTGATCTCTCCCAATTGTCTTAATTAAAAGATAATAACCTAGAAACAGCCACGAAATTAATTACTTATATGTTATATGCCAGGCATACTGCATATAGTCTCTTTTTTAATTTTTAAAGCAGTCTTATGAGGAAGTGGAACCCATATCTGTCTGATTCTAAAGCATATTTTCTTAAACAGTCTGACACCAAAGCCTATTCTCTTACATCTCTGTTCAATAAAGAAAAAATGAGGGACATTTTTGAAATAGCAAGTTAAAGAAACGAAAAAGTCTTCCACAAAGTCTACAGAGAAAAATGTTAGCTTCTAAGTCCAATGAAACCAATGGGGTGACAGCTTACACTTAGAAAGGCTCCTCCACCAAGCTGTACAAGCAGAATGTGTGCACTTTAATGTGTATATGTTATACTCTAGATTAAAAAAAAAAAGGCTTTTCTACCAACCCACTAAAAGAGCATACGCCAATGTGGAGAGAAAAAATTTGGCTGAGGCCAGGTAAGCCATTTCTAATAATTTATAATTTATAACAAGCGTGCACAGTGCATATCACAAAACAAGTCAGTAACATATCTCTATGGTTGGAAACCCCAGGCTATTAGAGCTCTAATGGCTGTGCTTCAGCTTTCATTTAAAAAAGATAAATAACTACAGTCAAACTCTGATGTACTAAATATCTTGCTAATAAAATATGATTCCCTTGATAATTTTATAATTATATTTTACCTTTCTTAGCTTAAATCAGTTATCATCCTCAGCAAATGTACTCTAAAACTGATAATGCCATAATTTAACACTCCACTCTTCCCATCCTAGGCCCAGTCCTGCCCTGTTTGGGTTCTCTGGGCTTTACATATTACTGGCTCTTCATCACAGACTGGCCATTGTTACCTGGTCATAATGCAACCACATATGAATGAAACCTAGACATCAGTAGATAACATGTGGATAAGGGAGCAAAATGACCCTGGTGACTTAGTAAGAAGTTAGACCAAAACAGAATATTAGATCCAGATATCTAAGTTTACTAAAGGCAGTTTTCACAAATATAGAAGGTGCTTAGGCTGGAGTGTCCAAGCTTCCCTTGGTCTGATAGTATCGGTATGGCCACCAAACTGAGCAACAGTCCCTTAAGGAATTAGAGACACTCAAGAAACCATACTCACTAAATACCAATATCCCAGCCTGAGAACCTATGATTATATATGCTAAAAAGGTATCCTTTGAACTTTCGGCGGTAACCAGTAACTTCTGAAAAACTTACAGAATCCTCCAATCTAGTTCTCATGGGACTTCTTGATCCCAATATCTTTCTGACAGCCGAATTTCTTGGCATTAAAACAAAAAGGCCCATAAAGTTAAAAAAAATAATAAAATAAAATAACATCATGGCACCATCTACCTCATGTACCAAACTTTTTTTTTACGCATTTATTAAGAGGTAACCAAGCTGCTAAAACCTACGTTAATCATTTTACCTAAAGATTGACCAAAAAAAGTGAAAATAGCTACAGCCAAAAATAATAATAATAATAAATAATGCTTGCCAAATGCCCATAAATATGAACAAATAAATTAAATCATTAAATACTTTAAATGACTTTAACCTGAGTGCGGCACTTTCTTGAACTTATCAGACATTCAGTAATCACTGAGGTTGTAGAAAATTCCAGCTTTGGAGCAATTCCCTGGGGGGGGCAAAAGGATATTATTAGACATTTCAATTTAAAAAAGGATAATTATTAGTGATGGAAATATGAACTAGAGTAATAAACACTTGTCAAGGTTCAGCTGCTTCATTTGTTGGTTTGCGCTTCTTATTAAAGACAACATAATAATGCTAAATGTTAGCTAGAAACAGTTTCACCACTGATTCACTTATGAGTTGATTACATTACTTTTATAGAATAATTAATACTTTTTTTCATTTTCAAGTATATCCCTTTCAAATTCTTTTAAGATTTGAAAACTATGATATAATATTAAAGTCACAAGTACATAAAAATATTTAATGGATTTCAGCTCTTTTTATTTTTGCAACTTAAGATATATCTAACTACAATCAAGAAATACTTTGGATAGTCTGTTAAAAAAATCACAGCTCCTGGGTATGCAGTTGTTGAAAACAGAAGAGAGATAAATCTCTACTAATTCCTTCAACATTTTTTCCATAATGTAGCTTACATTCAGATCTATGAATGACTCTGGCTTTTATTTCTTGCAACATTTCAATCACCAGCTTGAAAACTGTTTTGAGGAAGGTGAAAACAAATGGTGAAATTCAAAGGGACAGTAACAAAGCATCTGAGAAAACACACGTTATGAATTCACTGAAACATTAAAAGACATTGTCTGTACCTACTGCAGCTTTACTCTAATATAATGGAAAACAGACATTGACCAAAGGTACCTACACTGTCCTCTACAAACACAGCCTTTGACCTACTAAGTTTATCGTTTCGAACATCAAACAGGTTACAGAAAAGCAAGTCTGACTTGCCTAAGAATTAACTGAATGATTTTCTTGCAAACATATCTATTATTAATGATGGCCACTATGCCTCTTCGTTAGTTATCTATTGCTGAATAACATATTAGCAGCTTAAAACATTAATAAACACTTATTATCTCATATAGTTTCTATGGGGCAGGAATGTGCAGAAGCACTAATTATTATAAACTAAGTAGTTTTATAAACTACTAAACTGAGTAGTTTTGGCTCAAAATTTCTCATGAGATTACAATCAAGATGTAATAAGCTGTAGTCATCTGAAGGCTTTATTGGGGCTAGAGGATCTGCTACTCAAGAAGGCTCATTCACACAGCTTTGGCTGAAGGCCTCACTTCTTTTCTAGCTTTTGCAAGGAGACTCAGCTCCTCATCACATAAACCTCTCCACGGGGCTGCTTGAGTGTTCTCATGACAAGGCATGTAAATAGAGAGAGAGAGAGAGCGAGAGAGAGAGAGAGAGCGAGAGAGAGAGAGAGAGAGTGAGAGAGAGCGAGAGAGAGAGAGAGAGAAGGGAGAAGAAGGAGGGGAAGGAGAGAAAGAAAAATTCTTATATATGGGAGTCTCTCTCTTTCTATGTATATATATATATGTGTGTGTGTGTGTATATATATGTTATATATATATATATGTATTTATATATAGCCTTAGCAATCTAATATCTTCTAATTATATATAAAAGTTAACTCAAATTGAAGGAAGGAAGATAACTATTAATGGTCCATACTCTTATGTTTATATTGCCAATCTAAAATAATAGAGCATTTTAAATTACTTTTAAAAGACCGTAATTTAAAATCAATTTTTTTTTCATTGCAGGTTACTATACAGTTGAAACACTTTTTGAAAACTTTTATAGTATAGAAGGCAGCTAATGGACATTGAAAACATCCCAAAAAAGAAATATTTCCTAGATTTGCTAGTCCACTTTTATGCTTTCAGCAAGCTGAAGTTGCTATTTCTAGGATAGAGCATATCATAAACATAGAGCTGCAGGAGAAATTAATCCACCATATTAGCTCATATATCACCCCACTTTCCTTACTCAGACTACTCTTTTATAAACTTAGTAAAAAATGTCCAAATTATGTCAAGCTAAACAACTTTTGCTTTTTGCTTTTTTGAAACAGCAGAGGCTTCTCTCAGTTTCTTTAAGTGGAGGACATTTTCAGGGATGATATTATTTTGAAATCAGCTAACAAAAGTTGAAGGAAGCTGGACAGAGGATAGAAGAGTCGGCTGTCAAACTGTGGTTTTCGCTTTTAGGTGTTTGTTATGCATGTATATTTCACTACATGAACACATAATAACCTATCCAAACTCCTACTAATGAACATGTCAATTATTTCCACTTTTCACTATAATTAACAATGCTACAAATGAACATTCCTAAGAAGGCTCTTAGTGTATCAGAGAAAATACGTCTCCTAGAAGGTTGTAGGCTATGAGAATCTTTGCCTTTGCTAGATAATTCTGAATTGTGGTTGGTCCGGTTTATGTGGTAAACAGCATAAAAGAGTCCTTTTTTTTGATAGTCAGATTTATTCAATTTTATTATTTTTACGCTTTAAAAATGAAATCATACGGTTGTTTTAATTTAGATTTCTATAAATGTTAGTGATATTGAGCACCTTCCAAATGTTTATTGGTCATTCTTTTGAAAGAAAACTAAAGAGAGAAGAAGAGAGACAGAGAGACAGATAAGGATGGTGAAGGGGGCGTGAGGGAGAAAGAAAGGAGAGAAATGTAAAGAATATAAGGCAAAATAGCACTTGGTAATTTGGGGTGGTAGATGCATGGGTTTTGTTAAATTATTTTCATTTCATTCCAGTATGTTTAAAATAACAGTAAAATTTCAGAAAACCATTGTTTTTTCTTTCTTTCTTTCTTTCTTTTTTTATTTTTTATTTTTTATGGTGACATTGGTTAACGAAATCCAGTAAGTTTCAGCTATAAACTTTAACAGTAAGGCATATATAAGTTTATAGTGTTGTTCACTTCTCATAGTTAGATTTCTTTCTGTCACCACATATTTGACTCCCTTTATCCCCTCTACCTCCCCACTCCCTACAACCCCCTACCCTCTGGTAACCACTAGTCCATTGTCCATGTCCATAAGTCTCTGTTTGTCCTCTTCATGTGTTGCTTTTAAGTGTATATCCCACATGTAAGTGATATGTGGTTTTCAACTTTTTTCTGTCTGGCTTATTTCGCTTAGCATGATTATCTCGAGGTCAATCCATGTTGTCACAAATGGCAGTATTTCATCTCTTCTTATGGCTAAGTAATCTTCCATTGTATAAATGTACCACAGCTTCTTTAGCCAATCACTATCATAGAACACTTCAGTTGCTTCCATGTCCTAGCCACTGGGAATAATGCTGCTAAGAACATGGGTGTGCAAATATCTTTTCAGATATGAGTTTTCAAGTCTTTGGAGTAAATACTGGGTAGAGGGATTGCTGGATCGTATGGTAGATCAATTCTTAGTTTTTTGAGGAATCTCCATACTGTTTTCCATAGTGGCTGTACCAATTTGCAGTCCCACCAGCAGTGTATGAGGGTTCCTTTTTCTCCGCATCCTCTCCAGCATTTGTTATTACTTGTTCTGTTGATTATAGCTATTCTAACAGATGTGAGATGGCATCTCATTGTGGTTTTGATTTGCATTTCCCTAATAGCTAGTGATGTTCATCATCTTTTCATATATTTATTGGCCATTTGTATGTCCCATAGCGAGAAGTCTCTGTTCAGGTCCTCTGCTCATTTTTTGATTAGATTGTTGCTTTTTATGTTGTCATTCGGTTGTATGAGTTCTTTGTATATTTTGGATATTAGGTCCTTATCGGAGGCGTTGCTTGCAAATATAGTTTCCCATTTGGACAGTTGTCTCTTTACCTTGTTGATGGTTTCTTTTGCTGAGCAGAAGCTTTTTAGTTTGATGTAGTTCCATTCATTTATTTTTGCTTTTACTTT